AAATGCGATGCATTCTGGTAAAAAGTGATGAATTCGAGAATTTGGATCCCCTTTTACATATTCTTCTTAAATCCTGTTTATGTTGCTGCTCGCTCGCTATGCTCGCTCTGCAGCAATTAGATTCGTATTAACAATGATTTAGTAATACATAGACAAGTAAAAACAAACGATATAATCTCCCGAAGTTTCGGCGACTGCATGACACCATTATCAAGGGTACAAATAAGAATTAAATTAACAAATGCGAGTTCAAGAGTTATAACTAATTTACATAGCGGAGATGGCTACACAAATACTTTAGCATGAATAGAATCCATTTGCACATTCAAACTCGGTGTTAATTGTTTGATGTAAAGCATCTTGTTGACAAGACAATCGCAAGCACTATGACAACAACCACGCGGGTGCTGTCCCTGAGGACCTCCTTAGCTGTTTCAAAATTCTCAAGAAATGCATGAACAAAGTCAATTGTCTTGTCAACGAGATGCTTTACATCAAACAATTAACACCAAGTTCGAACGTGCAAATAGATTCTATCTGTGCTAATTTAAGTATTTGTGTAGCCACCTCCGCTATGCAAATTAGTTATAACTCTTGAACTTGCATTTGTTAATTTAATTCTCATTTGTACCCTTGATAATGGCGTCATGAGGTCGCCGAAACATCGGGAGATTATATCGTTTGTTTTTACTTGTCTTCAAATTAGATTACAACATAATTTCTGATCATCTGTTGCTATATCAAAATGATTATAACTACTAGTATTCAATATAATACTATCATCTCTATATGTTCATGTATACCTGTATGTTCTCAGATTCCACATATTTTAATAACCCATATTTATCACGCTCAGTTGTGCTGGGCACTCCATAATTTCCAACTATAGGATACGTTAAGGCCAGAATCTGTCCTCTGTAGCTTGGATCTGTCAGTGCTTCAGGGTACCTATGAGTTGAAGAAAAAAATGTTAGTGATTCCTGGAAGCAGCATTCAAATTTGATGTGTATATAAGTCATCCAAAATGGATAGGACGGGAAGTACTCACAAGGATTTTCATTATGGGTGTGTGACAATTGATATCTAGAAATCACTGCCATAATACTAAAAAGTGTTATCCTTTTGCACTTAATGCATCTATACTGTTGTGTGGGTGTTTTGTGTTTCTAGCCCTAAGCTACATTGTATTTAAATTTAGTCAATCAACCTTTATTTCAGTTTATATATCTATATAATACCTTAATTGGCTGTCTGGCTCCACCAGCCCCTAAATTTTATATATAAATTTTATTTTTTCTGTTTATAAAGTGTCTATGTTTGTAACAATGAGTAAAAACAAAGATAATTTGTTGTCTTGTTGTCTCTAAAAGTAAGTAATCTTTTCTCTTAAATCTCTAATGTTATGTTGTGATTGTTAACTGTTTCCCTGGGAATCAGTCATCAGTTTGGATTGGTTTGCAAAATATTAACTCACCCTGTCAGACCAGTGTTAAAGACCACTTCTCCAGAAGTGGATTTGCTATGGCCGAAGGAATAGCCCTTCAGACATGTTCCATCTTCAAGAACCAATGAAGCTGACAAACTCTGAGTAAAAAAAAGCATTTATAAAAGTATTATAAAAACAATTCACAAGCCAGAAACAAATTTAAATTAGAGATAGAGTTATTGTATAATGACATACAATGACAGTGACTCAAAATCATTTGGGGACATTCCATTCGGTGGCCTAGTTTTCTTGGTGTCGGCACCTTCAAAGTTTGCATCAGAGGGGTTCAAAATTTTGTCTGCTCCTTTGCAAAATTTTCCAATAAGCCCTGTGTTGGGATTTTGGTCAAAAAACCAGGGGAGTTGGTCTAGCTCCTAAGGGAAAAATCATAAAGCCGGCCCACTTTTTTAGAGTTGTTGGGTAGCACCTTCAACCTGGCAAAGTTTCANGGGGGGGGGGGGGTGCAGAAAAAAAAAAGAACTTGAATGTACCATGATCAGGGGTAGTTCAGTTTTATCCCCTTGAAAGCTGCCCCCAATAAAATAATATTCCCTTGCATGTTCCCTGAAAACAAACTACTTTAATTTAGTATTTTGGCATCTGCTGGGAGGATATAAGGGTATATTAGTCTTTTAAGAAATTCTTGGTCCTTTGTGGCCAGAAATAAACTTAAATTTAGAATTAACATGCAAATTAGAGTAAAAAAAACCCCTTTGATCACGCACATATCGGATCAACCCAAGAGCTCGTGAGTTTAGAATTTACATTGTGTGAAAGTACGAGGATAAAAAAGTTAAAAAGAAAAACCGTGCAATTCGATATTCTATAATGAAAAGTAAAATTTGATTTCGCCTAATATAAAACCACTCCTATCTACCTTTTGAATTTCAAAGTGTCGGAGTAGAACAATAGCACATTGTTCGTGTTCACTGACATGCAACTAATTAGGCTTAGTTCAGTACATTTACAGTATTTACGATCAGAGCACGAAATCAGCGTCAATTTTATAAAATACTGGAAACACACGAGACTTTAAAAAGAAATAAGCTTAAACAAAATAAGTTCGAATTACCGTTCTTGATCTTGTTACAGAAGACGAAAATCGAATGCCACAAAAAGCACACTTCGCTTTCCGAGAGAGAAAACTTGACGCTCGTAGAATCACAGACATTTCAGCTTCCTTGGTATGCCAGTGATCTCCGACGAAACGAACGTTATCGCATTAAACTCTAACGACTAAATTTCTTCCTTAGCTTCCGGCTACAGCTCCGACAACGGGACACGTCAGCGTATAAACAAAAACAGTACAAGCCACATCTGAGACAATATCCGTAATGTTTTGAACTCAGTTCATTCAGTCTATTCAATATGGCGCGAAAATTCGATGTGTTTGTGAAAAGCACGTGCAACTGCGCGCGAAAACCAATCAGGATCAATGGAAATTGGGAAGCTGGGGGAGACTGGGAAGCAACGTAACTATTTATAAAATATCGGATCGAAAACGTGAGCAAAGCTAAAAATTTTTCCACCGGTTGATCTTTCTCGGTTGTTAAATTTAATGATCACAGTACATCTTCGGTCAATAGTTAGACGGTTATACTGGTAATTGTCTTCGTTTGTCTTTTTACCACCCCAAAATCCAGGATGATGCAATCAAACATTTTGTAATTGTTTAACTCTTTTTGCTTCGCGACAGCAACACATTTTGACAAAGAGACATTGTACTTTTATTGTAATGGCGCCCATACCTTCCAAAGACGATTTATGTTGTCACGAATACTAGTAACACAGCATGAGGAGAACAGACGTTTTGAAACAAACTTTGGGACGTTTCGTTCATTCTGCGGTTAAAACGATCAAAGAGTGCGAACATTTTAAACATGGAGGTCATTTGAGTACAAAACTTCCCCAAAGATGTATGTTTACGTCGAGCCGAAAGCTGTTTCCTGATTCAGGCAAGCAACAAGATTTAAAGCGGTTTTTAGAGGAGGTAAGTTGTGTACACAAATCGCGGTTGTCAATTGAATATTTTGATACCTTAAAATTGTACTAAACATGAGCAAAAGCCGTTAATAGAAGCGATGCACTTTCATTTTGCTTGTGAATGTGTAAACATTCTCAAATTCTTGTCAAAGTTAAATAGCCTTATACGTGAATGATGAGCTTATATACTGAAAGAAATAGGAGATAGTCAAATATTGGTCTTCTGGGCTTTCCAGGGTGACATTGTCATGTAGTAAATAAGCTTAATCAAGTATTATCATTTTAAGATGTCGATGGTAAGATTCAAAGTCTGCTAACTGCTAGCCTTCATGATCATCTGTTCTTATGATTATATCCGGCTGTCCCCACGAGCGCATAAGCTCCTTTTATGCTTATGCTTATGTTGCTATGGAAGACTGGCTTTAGTTAATCAGGTGATGAGGTGGACTGATCATGCAGTGCATAAAATTATTGCATCACCTCATGTAATAGTATGGTGATAGTTGGCTGTGATTGGTGAAAAATGTTCCCTCAGGCGTGGGTTTTTACACTGTTCTCCTGTTGCCATGTTTCCTGACCTGGGTATGCATAAAAAATTATTTCTGGAGTCTCAATTCCACTATTCCCTTTTGACATTGTTAATGTAAAAAGCTATTTGTTTAACAGAATCTTTGCTAGTGTTGTTGTTTATATCTTTTTGTCTTGTCTAGTGGCACACGACTTTTGAAGAACTTGTGAAACTTAGCAACTGGGGAAATTGTAGTTGCTCATTAGGTGTATTGGTGTAATATAGATTTTTTTCAGTGACACACAATAAAAAATAACCATTCACAGCTATATTTGTAAGAAAGGTTTTCCTGCAAAAGCATTTAGAACATGCAACAATTAGTATACTTAGAGGTAATATACAGTAGATAGTTGTATTTTTCTGTTACTTGATCAAAGTTCACAGTATTTCAGCTCTTTTTCATGCCATTTTCACCAGATTGGTACCGATCCAAAGGAAGCTCGATATTGGCTGCGTCAGTTTCAGCAGCATGAATCTGCACCTGACCAACCTTTTGCTGTGGTACAGGTGGACTCAAGAATATTGGAAGACAAACTTATGGTCAGTTGAATAAAAAAACTACAGTGTAACCTTGCCTTACAGCCACCTTATTACTTCTGCCGCTTTATTCTGGCCTGAACAAAGGCTGAATCAGTCATTTTCTTTTAATTTTTGGAACCTCTTTAATATGGCCACCCTGTTCATATGGCCAGATTTTTGTGGCCCGTTGGTGACTGGAGTGACAGGGTTCCACTGTATCATTCAATAGTTTTTATGAGCTGAGGACGTAACATCATGTATTTTGGTCTGAAATTGTTGTCATTTTCTTTAATTCAGTAAGTTTGCTCTCTTACAGTTAGAAAAGCTTGCCTCATGTCTGGCATTCCTTCATCGCAACGGTATGCCTGTGATCATAGTACATGGTTTTGACAATGATTGTGATCATGAAATCAGAGATCCCAGGCAGAGAAGGGCCAAACTGATTGAAGATAACATAGAAATTGTCGATCTGTTGGAGAAACATGGTGGCATGGCGAGACCGTTTATGAGTTCTGGTCATGTCATATCAGCCCTGGAACAGGACAACCTGAGGTAGGTTACATGACTNCGTTCAGTTACAGATCACAGATGATTTCAAAATGTGGTAAGAACAAAAAGTGGCACACAAGGTGTTAGGTGAGTGTGTCACTGATGTTCTTACCACATTTTGATGTCATCTGGGATCTATAACAGAACAGACGCAGACCTATAACAGAACAGACGCAGAGCAACATCAAATCTGTTTGTTTGATATACAATCAAGAAACCAAAAAGTTGTTAATGATGTCATCCATGGATCTGTCCTCCAGTAGATCACAAGTAAGAACCAATCAAAATGCGAGAATAATTTGACATATAATTTATATGATTTTTTTTTGGAAATTCTGATTGAAGTCACCCTCCTGATGTGGAAATTTTGTTTAATAGGTGATAGGCAATGTGAATGTTGCTGATGATCTGGAATGTTTACTGCAACAGCCGTGGCACACTGATACCGCAAGGAAACAGGTATTTTTAGATGTGACAACAAGGAACAATGTATGAAACTCAGAATGTCAAGTGATCATTTTATTACTTTCTGTGTCTATTTTTGCCAGGCAATTTCAATTGCAAAGTTGCTCAATACTTTACCTGAGTACGCATCTGCTGTTATCACAAGTGCAGACTCCTTGATACCTGAATTGTTCACGCATAATGGTAAGTCTTAGAAGTTGACCACCTGCTAGGCATACTTAAATGATACAGTTGTGTTGAATGGGGTTCAAGCTACAGACTTGGCACTCTAGGTTCTTTAGTTCATCTTCCTTGTCAAAAACCACATCTGCAATTTCCTGATNTCAGTTACAGATCACAGATGATTTCAAAATGTGGTAAGAACAAAAAGTGGCACACAAGGTGTTAGGCGAGTGTGTCACTGATGTTCTTACCACATTTTGATGTCATCTGGGATCTATAACTGAACAGACGCACAGCAACATTGAATCTGTTTGTTTGATATATAATCAAGAAACAAAAAAGTTGTTGACGTCATCTATGCATCTGTCCTCCGGTAGATCACAAGTAAGAACCAATCAAAATGCGAGAATAATTTGACATATAATTTACATGATTTTTTTTGGAAGTTCTGATTGAAATCACCTTCCTGATGTGGAAATTTTGTTTAATAGGTGATAGGCAATGTGAATGTTGCTGATGATCTGGAATGTTTACTGCAACAGCCTTGGCACACTGATACCGCAAGGAAACAGGTATTTTTAGATGTGACAAGGAACAATGTATGAAACTCAGAATGTCAAGTGATCATTTTATCACTTTCTGTGTCTATTTTTGCCAGGCAATTTCAATTGCAAAGTTGCTCAATACTTTACCTGAGTACTCATCTGCTGTTATCACAAGTGCAGACTCCTTGATACCTGAATTGTTCACACATAATGGTAAGTCTTAGAAGTTGACCATCTGCTAGGCATACTTAAATTATACAGTTGTGTTGAATGGGGTTCCAACTACAGACTTGGCACTCTAGGTTCTTTAGTTCATCTTCCTTGTCAAAAACCACATCTGCAATTTCCTGATCAATTTCAAACATCTGGAATTCCTTGTTCTCCCCCATGCCCTTGGAATTCCAATTGTAAGTACCCCCATGCCAGTTCAAAGAACTCCCCTTGCCCTGGGCATTCCAAAAAGACGCTGGTGGTATATGTGTGAATATTTTTGTTATATATTTTTGCCCTCTCCATTGTCATCATTGTTGTTATCAGTGTTGTTGTCATCATTCTCATTAGTCTTGGGGGAAATGCTCAGAACTTAATTCCAATGCTGTGATCTTTCATTCTTAGGTTCTGGAACAATGTTTCTCAGACCAGAAGCAATTCATAGACATCATTCATTGGACACTGTTGATATTGACAGACTGCAAGACCTTCTAATTAAGTAAGTCAACTGAAGTGCTTCACAGTACCTGAAAATATTACCCAGTTCACATTCATTCTACTTTTCTGGATCATTATTATAACTGTGTCTCTAGAGTGAAAGATTTTGGTCTTAATTCCAGGTCATTTGATAAGCCTCTAAATGCTGAGTACTTTTCCACACTGAAGGGTCGTCTTCACACTTTGTATGTCACTGAAAGGTTAGTTTGTTGTCGTAAATGTATATGAACAACTTAAACCTTAAATGATACCTAAATAAATTCTCTGTATTGTCTCATGATGATTGGGAGAATTTGATTGCTTGTCATGAATCCATCTCATCAGGTTCCACTATACCAAACCTCTGTTCTATTTTGAGTTATTCTTGGCTGGCCTAATGGATCTAGTAGTCTGGCTTTGAACCCTGGCTATGGTGCTTGCATTTTGTTTTTGTGCAAGACACTACTTTTCTACTCACAGGGGTATAAATGGAAAGTGGAGGATTGAATGTGGGAGTAGAAATATTCCTAGACCTTCTGACAACTGAAACCAGAGATACATGTCGTTTTAATGGGCCACTAGACTCGTGTGCATACTTAACTTACAAGTGGGCAATAGGACCCAATATGAGTTTATGGAGGTGTAGTTTTGCACTGAGATTTCTACTAACCATTAGCCTGCTTTTCTCTTAGTTACAGTGCGGCTGCTGTGATTACCAATGAAGGTGGTGTGGACGATGTCCCATATCTGGATAAATTTACAGTTGGAAGAAAAAGTCAGGTAATAATTAATCATTGTTGAATGAAAAAAAACAATGGTCAAATCAGTCTAAGAGGTTCATTTTTTTGAAGAGGTGATTTTCATGACAACTTTATCATTTGTTCCCAAACTGCAGAAAATACTTGCATAAAAACAGCCCACACCAAAGGAAAATTATGACATTGTTTTGAAAATGATATTTAATGTGGCTGCGTTAACAACACTTAAAATGTTCAAATTTTGAAGTCTAGAAACTCAGTGCAGAAGAGGAGTTTCAAAGGTAGGTAGGTTTTGTTGCAGGACTCTGTCTCATCTTGAAGTGATTGCTTCACAAGTCTTATATGTTATTTTACCTCAGTTAAAATGATTTTATCATTATAAGTGAGGGTATGCCTTCATGATGTTTGTTTTACTTTTCTTACTTACAGGGTCTTGGCACAAGTGATAATTTGTGGAAGAAAATTAAACAGGATTTTAATAGTCTATTTTGGAGATCCAGAGGAACAAATCGTATTAACCCCTGGTAAGATTTCAATCTCTTTATTTTGGAGTAAAATCAAACAGCTGCAAACAATGAAAAAAAAAGTTTGAGAAGGGGAGATACCCTAAAGAAAATGACTGTCTAACGTACAGTATTTGAGGGAACCTTTAGTGGAATGTTTTTTTCTTTATCTGTTATTAATAATAGGTTTTTTTTTTCTGTCAGGTATTTCATTAGATGTGACGGTAGCTGCACAAATGGAAACTGGACTGTTTTTTGGTAATATTCCTTTTAAACGTTATAAATGAACATATGAAAGGTGAATTGATCAACATGACACAAGCGTGGGACAAGAAAAAATCTGAGTCTCTGATAGGAATTGAACCCATGACCTCCTGAACACTGGCGATGCTCTGTCCACTGAGCTACATTGATCAATTCACCTTTCACATTTCATTACTGAGCTTAAAATTCACCATCTTTATTCAGTTATCATAACTGAATATAGTTTGTCAGGACATAATAATAATATAAAGTTACCAGTTGACTCTTCATTTCAAACATTAACTTTATTAGTAAGAATTTGTCAGTTACCAAACCAAAACACTGATCATTGTTTGTTTCAGGTATGGAGTAAGTGATCATGTTTTGACGCACAAACTTGTGCAGTATGCCTCTCAGATACCGCCATCCTTTGATCCTATTGCTCCTCGTAAGTATACCAGTTTTACTTGAATTTCTGCAGCAGAGAAATGTTTTTGTCCAGCCTAATAAGAGTGTCATTAATTACCAAAGCCTGCACCAACCTCCTAAAGACAAAATTCTGACTGTAGAAAAAACATGTTAGAATTTAAGTTATTGGATACTTAATTCTTTGACTTTTTTCTTGCGCTTGATAAAATAAATGAAATTTGTTTCTTTTCCATTACCTGAAGCAACAAAAAAGGCGTAATACAGTAAGTTTCATTCATTTGTTTCCTTTTATTATTTCAGATGATGAATCCAAGAGTAAGCGAGTCCTTTCCACAAATGCGTATCACAAGTTTTTGTGATACAAGTTGGCAATAAAGTTATAAAATTATTATGAATTACATATAAGAAGCGATTTCTCTAAACATTTAACTATAAAAAATTGCGATAAAATAATTTGATTGCCTCGTCTATGAGATGCTTTGCATAAAGGAACAGAATCCAAGCTTGAACACGCAAACTGACTCCATCCGTGGGAAACTCTTTGTTTAACTTTAAACATTTTAACACATCCATAGAACTATTGTTTTACTGACTATTTATACATTTTTTATCAACTATCATTTTGACTTAATAATGATGTTAGCTCAACATCGAAACGTTGTCGTTTTTTAACAAAATTTTCAACTTTCTCAATATGCTTAGAAATATTTTATCGCAATTTTTTATAGTTAAATGAATTACATACAAAGACCAACTTGTTCTTGCCATTTAATTCTGAGTAATAAATTAGCAATAATATGAAACCCCAGTTCAATGAACTTCGAAAGCCTTGTGGTGCTGGCTATTTCTAAACATGTTGACCGCACTAAAGGTTTAATGTTATAAGTGACAAGCATATGAAGATTTCTGTTTATAAAAAAAGACTCCAAGCCTTAGCAGGGTCAAGTATCATATGTTCTATCATAACAGCGATAACTTATTACTCAATTGGGTGCACCAGTAATTTTTTTGTATGGGTAACAACTGCATTTTTGTACTAACTTATTTTTCCACAACTTCAGTTATTTATAAGGCAAGTAGTTCCTATGTTTTTACTTTGGAGGATACAGGTTAAAAAATGTTTCAGTAGGAAAAATTTATTTAGATCACAAGAGAATCTAGGCCTTGGTTACTTCGACTTTTGTTTCTTAAATAGCAAATGTTTTAGCTTTCAATTTCAACCCCCTGTTCATGTAGTCTTGATGCATGGAAATTGGCAAATCCTTTCATAGAATCTTTTAAGTCCAGAACAAATATCCATTGAGTGTGAACTTAAACAGTACTTGTAAATAGTGCTTCATGTCATC